AAAGGTTGTTTTTTTTTTTTTTTTTTTTTTTTTTTTTTTTAAGATTCTCTTTTATACTTGAGCAAGACAAAATATAATGTCTGGAGAAGAGCTGTTGTAGCCAAAGCATTATATTTTGTCTTGCCTGTGGGTATTTCAATAAAAGCAGCCTTTTTTTTTTAAAAGGGGGCCTTTTTTAAAACCCAGTATTGAAATGACAATGTTCAGCTTATTTTTTTATGCCTGATACTTGTAACCTACAGGTCCTCACTTTTTTTCCTGCCAAGCTGTTGCACAGAAACTGCATTTTTAGAACAACCTCTTCGAGAAATAGTACTTCAGTGCCAATAGCTTCAAATTTCTGGTGCTGAATGGTTACTGGAATCTGCTTCATCAGAAGTTCCTTTATTTTCAAAAAAGTGTCAGGGTTGCAGGGGGATTGATATCATCTCTCTGGTAAAGAGGTGGAGTTATGATAAAAGATCTCTTCAATAGCTTAGCAAGCTGAATCTTCAGGGACTATACAAGTATCTACATTTACAAGCATAACATTATACATTCATGGAAAGATTAATTGATTGGAAACTTACTGATTCCTTATTTTTAAAATGTTGCATGCTGTCACAAGTTGGCATATCCTTTAAGAACAAAGAAGCATTTCTTGCTCTAAACAGATTAAAATCTGAAAGTCTAACTGTCCCAGTTACCGGGATAATTACACCTTTTGCCCCTGTTAGCCTCCTCCTTGAGCCTTCATCTGTGACCTCTCTGTTGGGGTGGAGTCAGGTAATTCTTCCTTCTCATACTTGGGCCCACTTCACTAAGTCCCATCTTAATTGTCTGCAATACTGAAGGTCCCTTCTGGTAAGCAGTCACTAGAGAGCCTTTTTAAACCTAAAGTTTACTTATTTAGAACTAAAGCATTTAAGAGAATTAAGATTTTAAAGGAGTAAACCAGTGTGTAGATGAGTCTATTTGCTTTAGAGTTTACCATACTTTTGCTATTAGTCTAGGGCAGTGGTCTCCAAACTTTTTTGATCATGCACCCCTATCAATATAAATAGAAGTTCTAATATTTTCTTCCCACACCCCAATGGATCGTCTTGCACACCCCACTTTGGAGATCACTGGTTTAGGGGTTCCAACTCATGTAAACTCTCTCTGCATAGGCTCTTGCCTTTTCAACCTGTTTCCTTGAATAACTCTGGACAGTTTGACTTTTTTTTTCTCTTGAGAGGAGCTTTATAGATGTCTTAAGTGTCTTTGAGATCTGTAGGCCACAAGTGAGGAGGAGAAGGTAAAGACACCGATATGGAGATGAGAAGATGACTTGTGAGAAGAGTAATAAGGTGCTGGTGGTGCTGTAGATGAAACCAGAGGGTGCCTGTAGACATACAGGGTTGCTGCTCCAACGTGCTGTATTTATAGCATGTTGGATCAGACTCTATTAATAGAGTCTGCTGGAGTGTGCAACTTGGTGTACTCCAGCAGCCTCTGCATCTCGTGTTCAGCATCCCCACACTTCAAAATTGCGGCGGTGTCACTTTAACTAAAGCCTGTTCGATGAGCTTTACTTAAAGCACTCCTGCCACCATTTTGAACCTTGGGATGCTGAATATACAAGACCTGGGCACTTTAATTAGAGTGACTCTTGGAGCCTTCTTCCCCTCAGAGTCCATGTAAAGACACCAAGAGGGCCTTGCTAATGAAAAAAAGAGAGACAGTGGCATACAGGGGGAGAAGAGAATGAGATTGCATAATATGAGTTATGGCAAAAGTGTGAATGGTAGAAGGCAGGAGTAAAACTGAGATCTAGGGTTTCCAATAAATAAAGTTGCCAGCAAGTAGGAGAAAGCAACATGTGTCAAAGAAGGGATGGTTAAGTTAAGGGTGGAAAGAAAAAAAAGAAAAACAGTCATGACCTTGGAATAACTCTGGCTCCAACTCCTTGCTGAGGATGATTATATTGTTCTGTATGTTTCTCTTGAATGAAGAGAACATTGTTTTGATCTGTTTTCATGAAAGTGAAACTTTTGTTTTCAGAAAAATGTATTTTTAGTTGCCCTGCAGATTATGGCACTACCATGAAGTAGTATGACTACCTTTACCTTCATTTGGGGCCAAATTTATTTCTATATAGGATGATTTGCTTTTCTGGGGTTACAGAAGAATTAGCTTTTTGCAGGAGGGACTAAGAATAGGGAAAGACAGGGAGAAAATAGTCATAGGAATGCAATGCTCATCAGATATATCTGGAAGGTGATAAATGCTTCACAGGACAAGAATTAAACTAGTTTAACCTATTGGTAGTTAAGTTAATTCTGTATGGAAGGGAGTGAAAATCCATTCAAATACATTAAAGCAGTTGGGGACTTTCACTCCACTATAAGCAAAGTTTCACTGTATTTATCTTTAATTATGCATGTGCAAATCTGCAAATCAGCTCTTCAAGTAATCCCAAGGGGTATATTTTCTGCTTGGTGTGATTTTAATTCTAGTTTAGTTAGTTTAGGGATTTGAATAATTTGTGACTCACTTCAGGATTGCTTCAGGCCTTCCAGTCCAGTTTATTGATCAGTGAACTGGTGGAATATACTTGCTACTACAGTTTGTTTAACTCGTTGTTAGTTTCAGATCTCCCTATGTCTGATCATGGCAATGCTGAGAACGAAGTTCCACCACCTCTGCCACCACACCCTACTGAGGAACTACTTACTGAAGATTATAACCATAGGTTTGGATATATACCTATTTTATTATGTATGCCTAGACCTGACCACTTATAATTTTGATGACAGCTCTAATTGATTAAAAATGCTGTTGTTAGGTATGCAAATGGATATAGATATAGAATTTGTGCTGCAATAGTTATGGTCAAGTCAATATTACTTTAATATTAACCATAGTAGGTTATTTTAAAGTTTAATATTTTGTCTACTTCAGTAGTTCTCAAAGTGTAGTGCACTTACTGCTGGTGAAGCCTGGGCTGCAGTAATTTGCACATTGTTTGGCTTATAAAGTAGTACAGAATTTAAATAATAATCTAATAAAATTAGACTGGTTGAAAAGTTGCATACTAGTGAGTTTTACGTGTGATGCACTAGGTCTTAAATTCTAATAACTGCTTCTCTGATTCCAAGTGTCACAAACTGTTTATTGATTGTCAGCCTTAAAATGGGAGATTATTTTTCATGGGAATACTTGAAATTTGCTGTGTATCACTTTGAGGCAAAAAGGTGTAGCAAAGAAGACCTCTGTGTAATTTGAATACAAAACACATTTTTAAAGGTGATTTTTGTAAGTAGTTAATTCATGGAGCAAAGCCTTTGAGATATTTTGAAAACTGTCCTGGTCATTGCAAAATATGCTGATGGAACTTGAAAGCTGCTATTTGCTGAATAAATGTGAGAAGCTTGGCATTAGTACTGCAAACTTCTGACTGAAATAAAGTAAAACAATAAATATAGTTGGTTAAAAACTGTGCTATACCACTGACTTCATTGGGAAAGCATAAGGCAGAAGTCAGCACAACATTTGTTTCAATGTGCAATATTCTCATTCTGAAAATAGAATATCAAAAGATCAAATAATATGGTATCACACATTTTTTTCTGCAATCTTATATTCATCACGCACATATAAAATCTTCTATTTTTTTTCCTTCTGCTTTACTTAATTTAATCAAATTTTATTAGAGTTTGTTTTATCTCTTTAAAGTGATGTTCCCTTTTTTTCAAACCTATCCAAGGAAGCCATGCAAACAAACCAGTATAAGTGAATGAAATGTCCTCTTATATAGTTCTACTTATGAACCTTGTCTGCAACAATGGTGGACAGTAGTGAAAAAACATTGAAAAAACAGCACTGTTGGTTCTTGGATAGTTCCCCCTTCTGTTAAATAAAATCAGATTTAAATAATTTGTATAAATAGAAGTTATCCTTGTTAACAATCGGGGTGGGGGTAATATAGGTATAAAATGAATACATGTGAATTGAAGTGCTAAATCTCACAAAAGAATATTGAGAATCAAAGATTAATTTAAGATGCATGCCTGCAAACAACTGGAGGGGAAAATACATTTATATTGTGAAAGTTTTAATTACTACACTTGGTTTTGTATCAGTGCTTAAATATTTTGCATGGCTTCTTTCCACAGCTCTGTAGTGGATTCAGCAGCATATTTAACAGATCAGCACATCAACTTAAGATCTCTGACACCAGCCAAGCAGCCTGAATCAATTAATCTGAAAGCCTCAAAAAGCATGGATCTTGGTAAGAGGAGGTGGGGTGACTCATAGGTCATCTTTTTAGCCTTAGCACGTTTTCAGTATCTCCTTATTTTCTGCTTTTGTTTTTTAAACATGTATATCAGGGAGCAAGATATGCAGACATGCTGGAGTGGTGGGTACAATGTTCTGCCTCCTATAGCATCTAATTACAATTGCCCTTTTTATTGAAGTTGGATAAAGGATTTTTTTTCCAAGGGCCACTTTACCATCCATTGTATTGAAATCTTAGCTGAGGAAATGTGAGAGCCTTTGTGAGAATGAGTTAAACAAATTGCCAGTTATACCTTTAAAATGATCCACACATATCTAAATCTATAGCAAAACAATAAAAATGTTATTTTCTTATAGAATTCAGATGGTTGCAAAACTCCATCAAGGGATGACTTTCTTTAGACAGGTTAGGTTTCATCAGTGGCAATAACAAAGCTGAACAAAGTGTTGAAGTAGATATTTATAGATGCTTTGAATAGTAGTAAAATTATGGTCTAGTACCTATTAGAGCTGTACCTATTAGAGGAGAAAATTTTGCAGGGTGGGAGAAATTAAAACGTAACTGTTTTAACAATATTAATAAAACGCTTTTTGTTTTGTGGAACTGAGAGCTTTATATACAACAGGAATGGAAAAGAATGCATTAATTGAAACAAGCAAACAAGCAAAATAAAATTTAGTTATTGGCAGGCATCCTGGTTTTTTCTGTTCAAAAATCACAAATTCTCTGATTAAAAGCCCCAAGATCTGCATTTTTCCACAATTAAAATGAAACCTACCTCTCTCTCTCTCTCTCTCTCTCTCTCTCTCTCTCTCTCTCTCTCTCTCTATATATATATATATATATGTATATATATATAAAATCAGTTGAACACAATGTGTTATTAATATATTTGCAATTTGAAGCAGTTTGGATGCCTACCAGTACCTCAGTTACTTTAAATTAATTCTAAATACGTGTAAATTTTGGCATTTGATTTTGGGTTTTTTATCATGGAAAATTAGAGCTCCCCCTGCCCCTTCGCTCACCAGGGTGTGGGTCCAACTGCGGCTTCCCCTGCCCCTGCTTTGTGGTGCTGAGCAGCCCTGATATGCCAGTCCCCTACCCATGCCATTGCCTCTCACTCCCAAGCCACAGCTCCCTGGCCCTGCTGGTGCCCCTCACGCCGCACCCTGCCAGTGCCCCTCAGTTCCCACCTACAGCCCCCCATCCCCCCTCCAGCCCTGGCCCCAGGTATCAGGGCTATGGGGCCAAGGACCTGGGTCTCCAGCCCCCTACCCCAGCCCAGTAGAGCCCTGGTTGTCACCCACAGGAAGTAGCAGCTGCTGTGGCCAGAGCAGAGCCCAGAGCAGGGCAGGGAGGCTTGGTGCTGCCACCAGGAGCCCTGTACTGCCATGGTGAACCACCCCCTGCCCACCTGGCAGCAGCAGGAGGTAGAACTCTGTGCTGCTGCCCCAAATGCTACCAGGTGGGATGGGGTTGCCTCACCATGGTGGTGTGGGGCTTCCAGTGGCAATACTGAGCCTCCCCACTCTGCTCTGCTCTTCCAAGCCCTGAGCCTGAAGCCACCAACTCACAGCCACCCTGTGCACAAACCTGGTGGGTATGTGCTCCCCATATCCTCCCCAGAGCCCACACAGTGACAGGGAGCCAGCCCCACCACAACCTTCCGACCGAGGTGCCCATGGCTCCATGCTGTTCCCCGCCCAGGCCCTGTGGCCGTTCATTCCTACCCCAGACTCAGGCCCCAAGCCTCACACACCACCCCGGCTGGACGGGAGCCCCAGCCCTGCCCAACTCCCTGCCTCTCTCACTATGGGGGCCTCAATCTCTTTCCCCCTCCCCCCAACCCCTCATTTACCTGCATGGGGTTGTGGGAGCTACATTCATGCTGCCTGGCTAGCACAAGCATGTGTGCGCATACACGTGCACGTGGTACCTCCTACCTGACTGCCCTCCTCCCACTCCCCCCAGCCCCTTGCAGGCTGGAACTCTGCCAGCTTTCAAGGGGAAACCTGCCAGTTCCTGCATTTTTCTCCTTAAAAAGAGCAATTCCACATTTTACTGTGTTTTTCCATGATCAACAGAAAACCCAGATCCCTGGTTATCAGTCTGATTAAAAAAAATGAGCCTTTAGTTTCCTCATATGTGGCAGTGTGAAATGCATACAGAAGTATTTCATACATTTAAAAGTAAACTGTGTGTCTGTGTGTCTGTGTGTCTGTGTGTCTGTGTGTCTCTATGTGTAATAATTGCTTCCAAATGAGTTAAAGGAGAAATAATGTAGCTGCACAAATCAAGGGTTATGTACTCTCTCTTCATTTAAGTTCATGCTTTATTATTACCCAAACTCAATAAGAAGTTTGTGCCCAAGTGTAATCTGCTTTCTTGTTCAGTACTGCTAATTATTTATTGGAAAAAAGGCTATTGAATAGAAAATTGACTGCAGCATTACAAAAAGCTGTATAGCTTTTGAGAGCAAAGGGACTAAAAAACAACATATATAGAGATTGCTAAACAGAAAATGTGGGGAAATAAACTTGGAGCCTTGGAGTCATTCCCTAGCAGAATATAAAGTACTGTATGCAATTTTGCTACAGGTTTTAAGATTTTAGACAGTTTTGGGTGGGGAATGGAGAAGAAAAGAAAGGGAAGGGCACTAATGGAAGATTACATGTTTATTTATTTGATTTCAAGAGTTAGTTGCTAGTGAAACAATAAAATACCGACTAATGGGCTTTTTACCAGAACTTTGTTTTATCTTTTTCAGTGCAGCAAGTTATGCTCATGATGCTCACTTGCCCAAGGTCCCTTGCCCACAATAATAGGTGCCACATACACACAGTGAATGACTTGACCTCATGTCATGTAGGAAGTCTGTAGCAGAACAGGGAGTTGAACCCACATCTTCCAACTTTGAAGCTAGGTCCCAAATATTGGGCTGTCCTTCCCCTTTGTATACTACACTTAAATTAATATAAAAATCCATAAATAGTCTAAAAATGTACTCTCCAAAGCAGCAGTTGTACAAGAGAAAAGCAGTAATAATTATAATAGTCCCAATAAGCTAGCATCTGCTTTAAATCTCACTCCATTATCAAAAGCCAGGGGAAATAAATAAACCTATTAGAGTGACTAAAAAATAACAAAACTAGGTGCTAGGAAAAGAGTTCAAAGAGTTAGGATGAACAGTTTAATTTGGTTAACCATCACTCAGCAGTTTGTGCGTTTGTAGTTGCTATAGGGAAAGAGGCAAAGAAACTTTTCTTTCTTCCGGCATAGCAGCAACATAAATCTTGACACTAATTATATTCATTTAAGGGGTTTCCATCACTGGCATTCTAACCATCTTGTTTCCAGTGTTTTGTGAAGTATAAAAAGCTATAAAGCTGGGGCCAAGAAGAAGGCATTTAGAAACCACAGTATCAAAAAATCAGGGACATGGGATTTTTATCAAATTCTACAAGTTAGTATGGTCTGTTTGCAAAATAATATTCTCCCCTAAAGCCACTTGGTGCCTGATATGCTGCATCAGTCTAGAAGGGCAGACCAGCAGGTCCATCACCGTGACAGAAGAATTTCATCCTTAATTGAATCATAAGCTGCCCAAGGCAACATTTTAAACAAGTTAGCAGTGAAGTGGATACTCAGCTTTTATGTTCTAAGAGATCACCTTGTCTCTCTTGTCCAGGGGGAACATTTAGAAACCTTATCACTGTCCAAAGACCTTCTAAACTGACACCTTTTCTAGAGAGGTTTATATTACAGAACCACAAGGTTTCCCATCTCATTTTGCCAATTTTTTCATAGCAGAGTTACTGAGAACTCTTTGAAGTTTTAAACATAATTACTGTTTAGCTGCAGAAGCAAGGTCATATGCTTGCTTTTGAAATTTGATTAAGTTTATTCTTCTGGCCTCCTTTGAGAATTTACACCTCACTAAGCATCAAGGCTGGGATCTTAGGCACAAATTTTCTGCTCCTTTCAAATGTTTACTTAGAAAGTGCTAATAACTTTTAAATGAGGCTGTATCATCTTCTTGTTATGTACATGAGGTCGGTCCATGCTGTTTCTTGTAGCAAAAGCCAGCTACTGCTTAGAAATTACAAAGAAATCTTGTAATTAGGCCACTGGCATTAGTTATCCAAAAAAACCCACACTAAAACACTACAGAGACCTACTTAAAAGTGAAAATAGGAATATTTCAGGTTACCCTGTAGTCATTCTAATATCATGGGTACCCACATACTATATACAAAATTCTTCTTACATGCAGAAGTCTTCTTGAAAAACTGAAAACCCTCCACAAAGAATCTCTTTTTGAAAATTATACATCACTTGCAAATGGAAGTCATCTTCCATGTATCACCAATAGTCTACTTCTGTTTTTTGTTGTTTGTAGCTTACTTGTCCCAGTACCTTTATGGCTACATTGCCTCCCGTTTTGAGTGGTCCCCTAATTGGTATGTAGTGAGCAATTCTATTCATGATGCAAAAAGGAGAAGAATCCAACTCACTTCCTTTTAGCTATGGAGTTAACAAAATTATAAATAATTAAAAGTGTTGGAGTAATGTAGTTGTAATGGTCAAGGATATATGCAAGTGGCATGGATTTTTGTGGGTAATATCTTCTATTGGACAAGCTTCATGGCTGAGACAGATTTAGACAAGCTTTTGAATACAGTGCAGTCTTCTTCATGTCTGAGAAAAAGGAGGCACAGAAAGCACTTAACAGTCTGGAGGGCTGTGAAATAAAGGAACAGAGAAATTCCCAGGGATAGTTAACAGGCAAGAAAAGATAGCTTGATTAGTGAAGAGGGTCATTATCATCCATGGTATGAAATAGAATTAGTATGAATCAGGTAGATTATAGTGAGCCATGAAGTCAATCAACATCTGTGTTCAGTCCTTGGTTCTTGCTGTCTAGCCAGCTTATGAACTGTTGTTCCCAGGCTTGCCTTTTGAAAGTGTTTTGTAAAATTCCCTTGACC